TATCAAATGTGAAAATTATTAATGTTTTTTTTTTTTTGATAAATTTTGTTGAACATTCTTACTCTTTGGTTTGGAAATATTTTTAATGGTACAAAATTATATACACATAGTTTAATTCTAATCTGTTACGGTAAGGGAAAAAATTTCGCCAGAAGGGTATGAAAGGGCCAGATCTCATCCTCCATTTTGAAATAAACTTCATATTGTTTAGAATGATACATTATGGTAGAGGATGTCATTTAATGCATGTGTTTAAATCTAAGTACTTTGACTTACCACACAAATTCGTAAGGGTTAATCAGATGGGATAAGATACGTATATCTAGTTGCAACACTCAACTGAAACCTATTACACTGTAAGAAAAGAAAAGAGAGAAGAATTTTAAAGTGCCTTATCAGGATTTTAGTTACAGTGTTCTCACTCTAAAGATAGAGAAAGGGAACGTTACTCCAATACCAACCCCTAAAGTTGATAGAATCATCTACATCTTATGTTGATTAATATCCTTTCTGTGTGCAGTGCAGTGAAGAACTCTGCAGTTTAGTGCTCAGGAAAGTGTTGTTTTTGGTAAAATATTTTACAACTAGAAACTTCTATTGCTTCTATTTGGTATAATTGATCTACTGTCAAATGAAGATTATGCAGGTATCACTTCTGAGGTTTTAAGGTTTCCTCTGTAGATAAAAGAACATGAAGGGTAATTTTGTTTGTCCGATATGACTTAACCCAGGTGTGATATTGTGGAACTTGGTAGAAAATGTGATGGTTTGGTTTTGGTTCATTAAAGAAATAATTGCATTTTGTACTTTCTCTGATCAGTTTGTTGACGCCGATGGCAATATGTATAATTATGCTACAAATAAAAACAGTCTTATGATTATCTTTACCTTCTCTAAGTAATGCTACACTATTAGAGTTACTGTGTGAAGAGTTTGTTACTCAGCATAGAGAGCTGATTCTATTATTATTATTATTACCGAGAAGAATGTGGTTGAAAAATAATGTTGTACATGAGTACATAATCTTTGGTGCTACTATAGCGTGAGGTCTACCTCCCGCTAGTACTATAGCGTGAGGTCTACCGCTGCATTATCCATCCCTCATGGATATCACACATTTCCATACATTTATTTAGCAATAAACACTTAATTTGATACATTTTTTATACATGTTT